TTATGAACTACGCCTTTCTGACACTGAAGAAAATGATTATTACAAATCGCATCTTTCTGATAGCGAGGAAGAAAATTACGAATTACATTTTTCTGACACCGAAGAAAATAAAAATGTAATTAAAAATAATACAGATTCGATACCATTTACCCAAGAAAAATTAGATGAACCAAATCAACAAATAATAGACAGAGCATTAATTCACAGTCCACCTACACATGATAGAATACTAACAAGAAGTCGGACAGCACGACGTCGAATTACCGATCAAGACGATTTATTAAAAGAGCAAATAGACGATAACATTATATCGTTAGACGATAGAAATGATCCGCCTGATAAAAAAACCAGTGATGAAGACGAAGAACAAGATTAAAGGAAAGAAGAAAAGGATTAAAGACTTACCGGATTATCAAAAATTTCTTCTATCCGTTGTGATACGTTTTTATTTTTTTTTGGCCGCACCAGTAAAAAAATGGTGCCCAATCCCAGACACAATCTGAGAAGTTTTTCTAATAATAATTTTCCGAAAAAACCAGTACTGCCGGTAATGAAGATGCCTTGGCCATGATAGAACTCCTGAATCGGCGATAGTTTCTTATTGACCGCCGACAAATCCTCTATCGATGAGGATTCCATCAGCGAGAGTTCCATGCGTGATTTAGATTTGCATTCCGATTCGATAACAGCCATTTCGTGGTCGTCGATTCGATGTGCACTTTATATGAACACTTTTATTATCACTTCTCCTTCTGTAAGCGGCTAACAAGCTTCCACCTTAACAAATGAGCTTCGTTATTCAATCGATTCATCTTATATTCAATTCGCAATGTGTTACGCGACGGCCCCCATTATGTATCGTAATTTACATATCCATATTTATCGACTTTTTTATAATACATACATCTTTGAATTATCATAATATATTCCAAATGTTATTTTTTTTTGATAATACAAAAACTATAAAAATTATACATAAAGTATATAATACACAAGGTGATTCAAGCGTGACAGTATTGACTAAAAATAACGCAGCGCATAAAACTAAACAATGACAAAAAGATGTCTTTTTTAAGTTATCTTTTCGGCAAGATTAAAAGATGTCTAAAGAATGTCTTTCTAATTACACAAAAAATCATAATTAATTTTAGTTGACGGAAAGACATTGCTGGTGGCACATGTTCGTTTCATACATGTTTCCTAAACATATATGAAACCACTGGATACGTTTAGGACACATATGTGAAACAAACATGTGCTATCTGGGTACCTTTTTGGTCATCTTTTTAATCATTTTTTCGGCAAGACAAAAAAATGCCTAAAAAACATGTCTTTCTGACTAAATAAAATGTCTTACTTTAGTTGTTTTTCTGCCAAAGCAGAGATGTCAAAGGGCCTCTATTTTTCCATTGTCGATTAACTTTAACCAATGGTTCCAATTTATCGACAAAATTACCAAGATGAATGGAGGTTACGCCCACACGTATTCCATAAATATTTCATTCGTGCAGTCGCATGTTGAACGCTGTTAACGAACTGCGAGAAATAAGTAGCGGACTGTTGACATAATATCTATGATCATGTAGCTTTGTTTACATTCTTCAACAGATTAGTACGACATACACAATTTTCACTGTTCGTAATATCAGCTTATAACACCTAAAGTAGAGTATTAAAGTGAAACTTCAATTTGTTATATCTCCTAAACTAAAGCTGTTCTCCATTTATTTTTTGCAGGGAATTACTCAGAATACCCCCCCCCCCTGCTACAACATATCAAAAGGGCAACAAAATTAGTGAGGTGTGACCTAAAATGCATATTTACCCGAATTTTTACTATGGCATATTATAAAACATGTTAGGTAGTTAAGTGTTTCAAATTTTATTGTATTATAATTTATTCTATAAAGCCCATGATGGTCCACCAATAACACAAAAATGTAAAATGTAATTTAAAATTGTATTACAAATTAAAATAAAATTTTTCTCCGTGTAAAAGCGAGATGGTTATATCGAATATCTAATGCGATAAGTATCTAATGCGTAAATAACTTTTCTGTTCGGTTTACTCTCTTCTACCAGCTTACGAGCATTGTCGTAATTATTACCAGATATCATGTATGTATGATGCTTGTCATTTGTTTACATATTCATCTCGCATAATTAATTTTATAATTAGTATAGTTATAACTCTGTTCATGTAAATAGCTTGATTTCTCGTTTCATGCAGTATAATTAGAGAAGCAAAAAACTTCTTTTAAATAAAATGTTTGCTATGTGTACTTGACGTCTTTTTTACGACTAGATAATAATTGTGATACATACTAGATAACAGAGAGAGAGAGAGAGAGAGAGAGAGAGAGAGAGAGAGAGAGAGAGAGAGAGAGAGAGAGAGAGAGAGAGAGAGAGAGAGAGAGAGAGAGAGAGAGGAGAGGAGAGAAGAGGAGAGGAGAGAAGAGGAGAGGAGAGGAGAGTTTATATTTGCGCGCAAACTGTTTCTTCTCAGCAATTTGACGACACTCCACGCAGAATATTTTCAATTAGTTTAGTAGAAACAGAACGTTTACGATAAATTTAGGATCCTTTACTCTTATGGACTAGTTCGATCAAGCCCCCAATATAACGCCGAGTCACGTTCTTGTCGAATCGCATTCTTGTTAAGTCTAAAATTCATTATTTAAAAAGTAAAATACGTCTTGAAAGTTTTTTTAGGGTAAATATTAAAGGCTATACTCTTCAAAAGAATTAAGGGATTACTTGACTTTAGTGGAAAAAAGGTATTTTTTAAATGGTTGTAACTTTGTAACAAAAAGTTATATCAACTTTCTAAGAAAAGCAAAATCTTTAAAGATCCAAATCTGTAGCTCCAAATAAAAAATTTTTTGTTTGACTTTGGGAACGTACACAACACATAAAAAATCTGAGAAAAGTTTCATTGGAACCATTCGTAAGCTTAAAACTTTTCTTTTAGGTTGAATGGTCGGCGATTAATTGTCTGATTTTTCGTTGCCGAGGTTTCAAGGGTTAATGGAAAACTTGCTTTTTTTACTTAAAATTCCTGTATCTCCGTAACCAATAATCGTACAATGTTTAATATGTAAATATGAAAATAAAAATATATGTATAATAGCTATGCATGAAAAATCATACTATTGCGTCGGTATATCTATTTATCATACTAAGTAGTTGCTCTTGACTTTTGATACCTCCCAGGTAGCACATGTTTGTTTCAGAAATGTTTCATAAATATTTCTTTGAAACATTTTATAACGTTTTAACAAACGAGAAACGTTTTATAACGGTTCTTAAAAACGTGTCTCGTTTGTTAAAATGTCAATCCAAAAACAGTAAGAGAAACGTTATTTTTCCGACAAAAAACGTTTAAGAAAGTTTGTACAAAAATGTACAAAAATCAATCACATCAATCACATTTAATAGAATGAATAATATTAAAGACAAGTTTTAATAGAATCAGAAACACATGATTACAACAGAACAGGGCAGAATGTTAAACCAATAACTTTAGAAAAAAATACTGATTTGCTATTATTAATAGAAAAACAAAAAATTATTTTACAATTCTGCAATAAAATTTATTTCTATATTATATAAAATTACAATGATACACAATTACAATTATATTAATTATCGCTTTTGGACTCTTTTTCGACAAAAAAATTTTGCACATTTTTGAATGATATTTATCATAAAAACATTAAAAGCAAAGTACCGATTTATACGATTGAGTTTCTTGTGGGCGTGTGATTGCCAAAATTTTTAATAAATATAAAATAATATTTTTTAATCAAAAAAAGCATTGTCTAATAATTTACTTGATTATACACTGTTAAAAACAAATGCGAAAAAAGAAAAAAAAGTTGAAAAAAGTCTTGAAGATCTCCGTTATTCTAGCCACTCGCCTTGCTCATTTGCCACACTTACTATTCGGCATTTATTGTCCGCTGTTTCCGACTTGATGGAAAGGAGACGGAACATAATATATTAGCATCTTTCGAATATCTCGAAGCAGAGGCGAACGCGGAGCTCACACGGATACGGTTTTCGCTTGTGCCCTCTTCTCCACGATATCCTTGGTGCTGTCTTACTCGAGTTTGTATCACGTATTACTGATATTGAGTATGAATGTGCATAATCAGTAATTACATCCTAGGCTGATATGTATATGTATAATCGAATCGTTCTTTGATTTGATTTGTTATTGACAATGTGTGGGAATGAATAAAAGAACACGCTGTCAAGAAAATATTTATGTAGATGTAGATCTTTCTGTGTGTGTGTGTGTGTGTGATCAACATATCCACTGTACCTTTTAACGATCTTATTATGAGTGATTTTAATTATCAAAGAATGTTACAACTATTAATATTTTTTTATTAGCAATTTAATCGGCGAGACTATCATCCAACATGAATTATCGGCTTTCAAATTTTGGACGAAAACTAAGTTTTATCTACTTATTTCAAACGGACGCTACACGGAAAGAAAGAATTTACTGGCACAGCAAATTTTACGCTGTTATAATAAAAATATAAATTATAAAAATATTTTGCTACAATAATGTAAATCTTGATGTGTCAAAAAATGTTTTTCCGTGTTTAAAAAGAAAATGTGAAAAAATTCTTAAATTGCTTTAAACATCAAACTAATATTGTGCACTTCTTTCTTTCTTTTTTTATATTCAAGAAAATTCAAATTAATATAAATATTTTATAATAATCGATTGTTATCTCATTTTAGACAACCCAAATTAAAACAGAAACTTTATTTTTAATTTTTTTCCGTATAAAGCATGTAGCTTTAAAATATTGCCTAATATATGCAATAATTTTAATTTGCACATATCTCAAGCAATTTGATAAAGATAGGTTAGATAAAGATAGGATACGGTGATAACAAAAGTGATGAAGCTCCAAATGCCTACACTTGAAGAAGTGCTGGAGGATAACGGTGGAAACGAAGATTTTTTGCTACATTATGTAAATTTCGGCAGTGGTTAAAACAACAAATTCATCTTCCTCAAAGTAAATATTTTCAAATTTCAATCGATCAGTTTCATTAATCAATATGCTAATTATCTAAAAATCTAAAAATATAGTATAGTTTAATAATCCTGATATCCATGATTAATAATAAAAAAAACCACAATGTTTTATTTGTTATTTTTTCATTGAATCTTACATAATGACAAGCATTATTTTACATTTTACAGATATCTTCGACCAACAATTAAAATTTTTCATTTCTACTGTCAAATTTGATTTCGAAAAAACCACAAAATGTTTAGATATGCTTTACACTCTTCATAATCTTATTCCTGAAATTTACGGTAATCTT